CGCTCTCATACATACAAACATATTTATATGCGCTCCCTGCGAATGAGTTAGACATTTGCTGCTTAAATATACTCCCACACATGCAAATTATATACATACATATTTGGTAAATGCGTAAAAGTTTTACATCAAAAATATTGTTAGCTAAAAAGATATAAATTTGTGGTAAGCATTTTGAGTGGAAAAGTTTTACGACGTTTCGGCGAAAAAATCTAAAAGGGTTACATAACAAATAAATTTGTGGAACAGATTTGTGCAATTTTTGGCACTTAGTGATAATTACGCTTAGATTAACATAACATAATAACAATCCAAGAGGAGTCAATTGTATACTAAATAATACTCCGATTGATATTGTGATTTCCTAAAAAAAATACTAGACGCAGCTAACGAAATGAGGCAGCATCTAAGAACAATGACTTAAGAAAAAGAAAGAAAGAGAATTTGTAAGAGGTCACAGAGTTTAAGAATGTTCTACAAAAAGGTTAAGGGAGCTGTATTCAAATTTAAAAAACTCTTCATTTATAGGCAGCGGGTTAAAATATTCTAGAAAAGTGCTAAGCAGTAGATTTTACTAATTGACGTTGAAAAATCTAAAACTCGATATTTATGTAGTTGTAATGAAAATATACTCAAATTTCGCCTTTTGGGCTCAGTTAGTTTCGACTTCATTTTGTTCAAAAATTTTTTGATGTGGCTTATGTATATATACGCGGCAAGGTAACAATCAGCTGAAAAGGCAATTACAAATCATCGGATTTTTACTTCATCGGTACGCCCGAGTAAAATTTCTCGCCCAAAATTTATTTAAGAAAAATCTATACCTCCAAATGTCTTTTTTTAATGAACTTCTTCAAAAGGGCCCGTATTGGGAGAAGACGCAGGGTTTAAAAAAAATAGGCTAATTTTCAAGATGGGATTCTAAAAAAGAAATCGGAGAGTTTTCCATGTCCAGCAAGCATTAGAACAAGTTTCCAGCGCCATATGACAGACACTTCTTCTCTAACCTTTTTATGTTCATAAGAAAAACCGGGGTCCCAAGGCTATTCTGTGCGTGCGAGAAGTGTATACTAGGATAGGAATAGGGTTACTCCTTTTGCGCCATCGCAAAAAGAACTAACCTCTGAACCATTTATATAAAGCTAGAAAATGAGTTCCACAAAGAAATAAAAGTTAGGCGAATCATGATTCCATTCAAGAATTCCTTCACTAAATTTAAAAATTTTTGTAATTATAGTACTTCATCATGGCCCGCTCGAATCTGGTCAAACGATTGCTTCGAATCACTACTCTCAACAGGTAATGAGAATGAAGCAGTTAGTTGGAAAAGGACGACTGCAATAAACAACTCGACGATGTCTTCCAACTCGATAACATTAAACCACATAAATATTAACTTATCGTGTTTTTCACCAAATATCTGAAAACGTTTGAATGGATTTTACCAGAAAAGAGGCGGATATTTAGAAATTCGTCATACACTTTTCGAAACACAATAAAGCTCTTAAGTTGCGTATACGACATGGCCTCCTTACAGGAAGTTGAGCACATGTTAAATGCTGCCCTTACCTTTTAAATACTTAAAGCTCTGACGCTGGAGAAACGCTTCAATATTAAGTATTGACCTTCATTACTTAGAAAAAAATTAAAATCCTTTATTATTTAGACTCGTTGAAAATTATGTTACCTCACATGTACTGAAATACCAAATTTGTTTTTAATAAATTAAATTAAATAAAAGCACAAATTCATTAATTTTTTTTTGTTTCACAACTCACCCTCTTAAGCACATTTTTCCTGTAGTAGCTGTTGGCTGCCGGCACTCTTGGCTTGGCTCTGCTGCTTCTTTTCATCTCATAAAACAACAATTCATTTATGTATTTTTTCAGCCTTTCGTTTAGCTCTGTTTCACTTAATGCCTTAATGCATATGCATGTGATATTACATACTTTGTATAATTACCGTTAAATATATTGTTTATTTTCTGCAGCTGGGTAGGCGAATCATGATTTTGCAAATGCAACTGACTACGCTAATGAATAAATGCTTTTAGTCTGCAAATTTGTTTCTCTTTTTTTTTTGAGATTATTACTTTTCTCTTAAGGATTTGTGGAAGTTGGAGCAAGGGTAATGAAAGCATAATGGAAATTTAATACAAAATATTAAAGAAAAAACTGTGAAGACATTCTGATAAAAATGTTTACCATACATATTTTATTTCATATTAAACCTGGGTTCGAAAACGTCCTATCTCAACAAATGGTTGAAGAATGCCCCCTATCTTATAATTTGGTTGAATAACGGCCTATCTCATTTGCCGTTCCGAATACGAAGATAGGGCGTTCTTGAACCATTTGCTGGAGTAGAGCATTCTTCGATCAAATTCTGAAACCGCGCGTTCTTCGACCATTTGCCGAGATAGCGCATTTTCGGACCTTCTCCTGAGCCGTCGATGTGTAAATAAGTAAACATTTTCAAATTTTTGGTTAAATGAACAGAACCCAGCTGGGTAGTATTTGATAAATTCACGAGTGGAAGAATTTTTCAGAAAATTTGTAAAAAAAACCTTTTCGACAATACCTTTTTCTCTTCTAAAATCAATATTTCATACCCAGAAATTCAAATAAATTAATATATCATTCCATACTCACCAGCAATCTGGTGAATTGTGCTTAGTTTGCAAGCGACATAGCGACAATGTCATTTCCGGTCACCTTCTTGCACGTTCCCATAGGCACTCAACCGAAAGTCGGCTATGCTGTCACACTGGCGCAAGCAAGTATTAAGCCAAGCACAAGTTGCAGTCTCATGGCTTGTGCACGCTTGTGTAAGTCCTTAATTGGAACAAAGTAGATTCGCTGGATTAAAAATGATAATAATTTTCATTTCCACAATGGCGGACAGCAGAAATGCCATAGATTATGGGATTATATTAAGACCGTCGACATTGCCGGAGCTAGTAGAAAGGCAGGCTGCACAGCATGAGAGCGCACCACCCACAAAAATAATGCAGAGAGTGCATGGAGATATACATATGTATATGCGTAATTATCTATGGCAAAATTTTTGAAAATATATATACTTACAATGATAGCAACATACCTACTCCATGTATGTATATTTGCATGCTAAGTATGTTCCCATAACATTTATGTAAGTTAGAGATTTTATACACCTTTACGTTGTTTTACAGTATGTATGTATGTGTGTTTCGTATACACATATGAACGTTTATCGAATTACACTCGCCATAGTCAGCTTAGGCAAAACATTTTCTGCATTTTACCGTAGATAGTTTATTGTAAGTGGATGTTTTAATTTGCTGTTGCTGCCTTGCCAATATTAGATACATATGTACACACAAATATACGTTAATATACATACATATTCGGATGTATGGGTGCCATCCGTTGAAGGACTTTTCGTACCAATTAACTATTCAATGCACACTTGCTGCCGCACTTCAGGCGGTGCTAATGCATAACAACCAGATGCTAAGGTTTATATATTTATATGCTTACATACACTTACCTATACGTATGCATACATACATATATAAATGAAGATAATACCTCATGCGGTGGGGATAAGGCGCATTGTGGCAGGTTTCATATTGACCTAGTAACGCTAAAGCTTTAATATTTTGGAGTATTTGTGTTTGACATTGAATTACCTAAAATGATATAACCAGTTCTAACTCTCTAAATAAATCTAAACTAAACTAAATTGAATGACTTCTGAGCACCGATAGTTTTATTTTTGATTTAGTTAAACAAGTATTTTGCAGCCAGAACCTTAATTTTCTCCAAAAGAGTTTTAGAGTAAGTTTGAGTTTAGGTCCAGAAAAATATAGAAAATTTCACCCGAAATTTTAGTCTAAATTTAGGTAATTCTAATAAAATAATGTATCTGTTTGCTTGCCTCGGTTCTGAAATTTTCGAAAACGCAAACAAATGTTATTTTCTTAATCCTGGAATGTCGAAAATAGACAAATTTTCAGTTACAAAACAAGCTACCCAAACTCTTCTCGAACTTACTTTAATTAGTGATCTATACTTACGGTGACCAGCCGTACCTTATTTCAAAAGATAGTCCTTTTTCTTAAGTGGTTGTGTTTTGACTTTATTTATTTTTCTTAAAATCTTTTGAGGCCTTTACGCCGTTGTCATGTGCAGATCTGAGCTATATGTAGTTCGTTTCATGATAACTTGCTTGATGATATTTAGGGTAGAATTGAACAACTACAGATAAGTTCTCTTTCATGTCAGATCGTTCGGAATTATTTTGCCAGTAATATATCTCTATGCCTCTGCAGATATTAGATAAATCGAAACCTAGGAGAGCAGCCTTCTTGATATCTCTTAACTCAGCTTGGGAGACAACAAAGTAGTCTGGTTGATGCAAGCAGCTTACTGTTTAGTTTAGAGCCATCGCTGAAAATTGAAATTGAGCTGTAGTCTTGCTTTTTACATTGTTTTTTTTTCGCTCCCATTGAGGTTCTTGTAGAAACTTATTAACATTTCAGCTAGGCTGAAAGACCGAGAGAACTTTCAGGAGATTTGCTGGGTGGGGAACGAAAGACCACAGATATAAGCACCCTTTCCATTTTTTGTTGGAAGTGTTTCTGCTCAGCGTCCGTCACCATATTATAACTCTGAAAAAAGATTTGACCGTACGAAAGCTGTGTACAGCTGATGGGCTATATGTAGCTATAACCAAATTTTTTGCATGTACCCTTTTTTGTATGACGCTTCTGTAGTGCGTTTCTGTAACCTTGCGATACACCCAATATCGTAAAATATAACGCTTTTTCACTTTTATCGCAAGCGAGTGTTTCTGTAACTGTGGTGAGAAAAATATTGCGATAAATGATGCGATAAATATATCACTGGCTGTAAGTCAAGTGAAGTTTGGTTTTCGAAGCGAAAAGCGTCCAATATGAGCGAGGTCTGTATGATTTTAACTGATATTTTTATTAATTTCAAGCAAAAAAATTGTTTTTTTTACAGAAAAAAGTACGAACGGGAAAAATAACAAAACAACAAAAATCCAAACTGTTGGAACTAATGAGGGCTAACACCCGTGTAGCCAGTGGCCAATTTGTGGGCGTCAGTGGCGCAAAAAATTCCCAACAAGTGTGGGACATGGTGAGGGGGGAGCTAAATGCATGCGGAGGTGCATGCAAGACCGCTGAACAGTGGAAGAAGGTATGAACTGCAAAATATTTATTGGTTTAATGCCAAAGTATATTTTTTAATTATAAATGGTGAAGTGTTGGTCGGACTGGAAGGTTGCAGTGAAGAAGCAACAAAGTGCCTACAACAGATTCAAAAATTTGACCGGCAACCGTCCTGCCAGTGAAGGACCGAAACCATGTGAAGGTTTGGATGCGGAGGTATTGGAGTTATTTCCAGCAGCAGTCCTTGATGGAGATGGTAAAACAATTGAAGCCGGAGTCCATGAGGTATACTATTTTTTTTTAATTTGTGCATGCATAAATATATTTGAAATACTTTAAATTTTTTGTATTTAAGGAGAACGTGGATGAGACACTCGAAGACGAGTACTTGGCTGAATATCTCATCGAAGACGAAAT